ATTCATTAGAAAAGATAGTACAAACCCCAAGTACTTGCGAATCTATGCTTTCAGACCTGGGAAAACCGGAGCGTATCTCAGTTCGAAAAAATATACTACCATGGGATAAAACCCAAACAAGCCAAAGCAGGCTTATGGAGTGTGAGATTTTGGATGGCACATGTGTTGCTTGATATTGTGAAGTTGGGAATCGAGTATGGGAATAGGGATAAGGATTTGGCCGAGATGAAGGGGGAGAAGGAGAAGGAACATAGGGAGTGGATGGAGAGGTGGAAGAAGAGTTTGATTGTTAATTTGGCATATGCGCCTTTGACTATGCATTGGAGTACAGAGGGGGGTCTGGTGACGGAATTTTGGGTTGGATTGTTGGGAACTGTGGCTGGAGGAACGAGTTTGAGATATTTGTGGAAAAATACTCAGTAGAAGTGAATTCATGAAGTGGATAGAAGATGTGAGAACAGGATAATTGTCAAATCGAGGAACGATTTAAAGAATATCGAGGGTGTAAGAATAGAATAATGGTCAAATTGAAAGAACGGTATAAAGAATATGGCAATTACAAGCTAAAGCATCGAAGTTGAGGACGAAGTTGAGGAAGAAGATAAAGACGAAGACAGGGAAAACAAGTGTTCAATTCCGATATATGTAGTATGTATACAACCATCCATTGAGTATTGTACATCAAACCTCACCAAGAACCACCAACACATCACCAATCCCCCCTAAATGGCGCCCTAAACGGAGCTCTCTCCGATCCCTCATATCTAAGTACTACATCCGAGTACCACATCTGAATACCATATCTACGGGATCTCGCATAAACACACGAAGCACACATACTGTACACCCTAAAAATATCCCCTCATCATAGTGCATCTCAATCGGAGACGGAGAATCCCTCCTAATTTCTACATATCACATATTATATCATATTACATCGTATTTCTCCTCACACAGCATTTTTATGTGGAACAAGCATACAAGGCAAACAATTTCTAAGCCCCTTCGTCATGCATATCTAGTTCCATCTTACTTTCATCTCGGAGGATCTATAGTTTCTATCGTCGGATTAGGTGGGTGGAAGGAAGGCTGATGCACGGCTTTGCTTTCACTGCATATGTATGTTGAATGCCTTGGCTTGTGTATTTATTTAGGTTTGTATGTGTGCATGTGTGCATGTATATATTTATTTATTTATTTATTGTGGGTTTCTGGGTTTGGGGGGGTTAATATTAGTATTGTTGAGAGGATTGGGTAGGTAGATACCTAGGAGTCAATACAACCGATAGTATATCTGTATTTCTGCCCCGTTTCTATTTCCATTTCCACTTCCACTTCCACTTTCCCTTCTATTTATATAAATAAATAACCTAATAAAAAATCTAATAAACCCTTCCCTCATACAGTTTCCACACTGCAAGTATTCCAAACTCATCAACCCATCCATCCATTCATCCCCTTGCATCTTCCACTTCCTCCCTGGTATTATAGATTATAAACTTTTATTTTATTTCTTAAATCTATTATTTATTTATAATCTATATAGTTTATTCTTCTTATTTTCGTTTTTATTTTTTATAAGATTAAATAATTATTTAATTATTTAATAGTTTTATAATTTATATTAAAAAAAAATCAATTATTTATATATATTAAATATACTCAGTGTTATCATACTTATTTATTATTTATTATTTATTACTTAATAATTAATTATAATATATATATAAGACTTCATAAATCATATTTTTAATTCAATAAATATATATAAAATTAATATAGGGTTTAATTCCAGCCTGTAATTAACCTAACTTACAGATAGATATAGATAAATAAATAGATTCACCACAAACCTGCACAAGACATCACAGAATTAAACAAAATAGAACAAAAAATAACATAATAACACACTAACTAGCATACAATTAAACACTAACTACTAACTATCCTAACAACTAATTACTGGATAACTAACCACTAACAATTAACTATAGAACTACGTACTGACTGGTTACAGAATTATCGAATTCTTACCCCTTTTTTTTTTGTCCTCATTCCCGTTTTTGATTGCATGGCATGGCATGCCATTCTAACTCCTACTGCCAGGAAAGGGGGGAGAATTC